AAATAAAGGGGGGGGGGGGAATCTTCACCATAAGTATTTGTGATTATAATTACAATTAAATATATTAAAATTATAATCACAATATACAGTTTAACGCTTGTCACATGATCATTTCACTGATGTCTGATAGCTAAAATTTTTAAGAAGGAATTAGTATGTGACTTTTTAGATTTTTTTAAAAACATGGACAGAACCAACAGTTCCTCTACAGAACTTTGGAGTTTACTGGGAAATAAAGTTCCTAAATCAGAAATCGTTAGCTTTTGTTAAATGAGTATGTGGTTTACATTATAATAATAATCTCCATTGTAAACTTGTCTCTACAAAATGGTTCTACGGAGCTGTGGATTTCCCTGCTCAGCAGTGCCATAGATTGCGTATTACTTAATCCCTCCTTTAAACCGGATAAACTACAAGAATACTTAAATAGAGAAATAAAAAAATGAAAGAGATGTCTATACAATTTCAACCATGTTCAAGTATGTGTATTAGTGGACAAACAGAATGTGGGAAGACAAGATTTGTGTATCGATTGTCAATTTATTTAGATGAGATGTATGCAGGGGAGTCTCCTAAAACAAATTGTCTTGCTGCGGAATACATCAACCTCTTTTTGACGACATGGAACGACGTTTTTCGAATCTGAAATTACATGACAGACAACCATCTACTGAAACGATAGAAGAACTCACCTCAGAGCAAGAGCACACATCGTTTTAGACGATTTAATTCATAGGGTCGTACAAAATGCGGACATGGAAGTTTTATTTATCCAAGGCTGTCATGACTATTATGCTCGGCATGTGAGGGTTCTCTCTCAAAAAAAATCGGCGTTCTGCATCATTGGAGACTTTTCCATACTTTTTTCTTTTTCTTTATAAAAGAACTTTATTAAGCTCTTCTCATAGTATGGTAAAGACGACCTGGGAATGTAACTGTTAATTTTTTTAGGCCAACCCCACCACTTAACTAAGACTTGGTTGCCTTTATATCTTACGACCTTCTGAATTCTACACACGGTATCGTCAGTTATAATTACTTTTTGAAGTTCTTCGTAAAAGGTGCCCTCAACATCTTCTCCGTCGATGTCTTGTAATTAGTGAATAGGTATCCTATGTTTGGTTGAACGAGACTTGACGATAAGATGCTTACCGGTCTAACGTTCGTCGTATTCGCCATCAAAAGGTTTGCGCAATTGAGATATGCGTTCAGCATTCAGTAAGTATATTACACTATTGAAGTAAAATTGCATACAGTTCTTGTATTTTTCCGTGTATTTAGAGTATTTTTTCCACAAATAACTAGAATCTAAAGGTTTTTTCCGTATATTTAGACAAACCGTAAATATATATTAGCACTGAAGTGACAGCTTTAATGATACTTTTGTCCTGTATGTTAGCACACAGTGTCAATTCTTCCGATACTTTTGTCCTCTTATGTCATAAGGTACGCCATTCGGAGAGAGTGTCAACAACCTCGAATTGAGATCGAGTTCCAATCCCTTCCGGGGTTTGATGATGTGGTAATGAGAAAATTAAAAAAAAAAAATGTTTGTAGTATTCAACCTTTTTTGGAGAAAACTACGTGGACAACGGATTCATGATGACCACCCAATGGGACAATCTCCTCGTCCACCAACACCTCCACCCGTCCCTCAGCCTAACCCTCCACGCACATCTCCACCCGTCCCCCAGCCCAGGCAGCTGCGCCGTTCTATAAGGCTTATACGATCTCCGAATAGTTCAGACGTAGATTGAGTTTTTAATTTCACCAATAATTTACAATAAAAGTTACAAAACAGTTAAGATTTTAATCATAACAGAAAATGTCTGAGGACAATATTGATAATTTGATAATCTCCATGACACTTTATTTCTATCCAGTCTTAGTACTTTAACAACTTAGGGGGAGGGGAATTATATGACAAGTTTTATTTATTTATATTTAATTTTTTTTCAATAAAAGGTGTTGTATATGTTATACCTGTCAACAATTGGAATGCTGTATGCGATGCTTCCGTTTGCTACATGACAGCAGGTGCCCGCTCTGTCGAAGTGGAACTCCACTCCACCATGTAAATTTTTAAAACTTGATATTCATTCGTGCGCCGCCGAGTGGGGAATGGGTTTTAACTAAAGCAAATTTAGATAACATCCGTGTGTATGATTCACCTTAGATCTATGCACCTCAAAAACGTGCACCTCAAAGTATCATAAAAACGATCACTCTGTACTACTTGTATTAGAAGTTTGAACATAAGTTTATATTAATGTCAACGTATTTTCAAACATAATTGTGGGATTATACTAGATCAGAATTTTTATATAAGTAAATGCATTTCATTATTTATGCATGTAAAAAGTACTTTTATTTCATTTACAAATTGTGGCTGTTATTGACTCCACACCCAGATGACTAAGTTTAGGCGGGATTTATTATTTGTCTCTTGTAAATGAGTATAAATGCATGGTTTGTCACTTTAACGATCATATAACAAACACGTTTCTGAAATACAGATTAAACAACAAATTAATGACCGAGAAAATGTAATACATTTATGAAAATCAATTTATTGAATGTATATATACATTTTGCATAGTTGAGAAGGAGAATACTCTTCTCTAATGAGGGGAGTGGGGAGGTGCACACCCATTAACTCCACCAGCGTCGGTTCAGGAGCCTGCAGACACGGTAAATATATTTTATATTCTCGCTAAAGATCAAAAACAAAATAGTACCGTACCTTGCATATCTGTTTGTGGTGTTGACAATTTATCTCAGAAGTATTCTTTGCTGCCGTTTTCTTACTTGAATAATTTATCCCTATGTTCCTTGTAGACATGTAGTCTGCGATTTTATGAAGACTTGAAAGTGTAGTCACAATACAAACATTTGTTTAGCATCAAAGACTTGAATGTCGACGAACATTGTATATTCAACAGATGAATATAACCATTCCCTAGTGGGCGGTGGTCAATTACAACCTTGGCCGTGGGGGAATGGGTACCCACGATAGGGAGAAGGTGATAGAAATGATGAAATATTAAAGCAGGTCTACGAGTCGAATGCCTCGTTAATACTAAGGTTTTGCCAAAGGTCAAGATGTCCAAAAATTTATTTTTGCAATAGCCCCAAAACTATGTGAGGTATAAAGTTAAAACTTTTACAGTTTATAAATATATCATTGATTAACAGATAGAAAGTATCACTTGAAAACAAATATTTAAAAAGAAATATTTTTTGAGAAAAAAAAGTATCAAAAAATGCATATTTTTTAAAAAAAAAATGCACCTGCTTAATTATGTACTTTTAGTGAAAACCATCATTGCAGAAATGATATATGTTTATCAATGAAGGGCAAGTTGGACGTGAATGGTTTCTGAGAGGCTGTTATTGAAAGCATGACATGTATAAAGACAAGACCCCTATAAAATCCGCCATTTGCAATGTACTTTCGGTTTCAAATCTTAACATTTGGACAAAATGAACAGGGAAAACAACTTTCCAGAGGCTATCGATGTCCAACTTGCCCTTCATTGATAAACATATATTGTTTCTGCAATGTTGGCTTTCACTAAAAGTACGGAATTAATTAGGTGTATTTTTTTAAAATATATGCATTTTTTTTAAAAGAATTTTTCTCGATAAATATATTTTTTAAGTATTTGTTATCAAGCGATACCCTCTATCTGTTAATCAATGATATATTTATAAACTGTAAAAGTTTTAACTTTATAAACCGCATAGTTTTGGAGCTATTGTAAAAATAAATTTTTGGACATGTTGACCTTTGGTAAAACCTTAAGAAGACACCAGGAGGGAAATGTTTTTAGCGTATACAACTTTCCGATTAATAATCATTTTACCGTTGCCGAAACCGTGCAAGCAGGAATTTATGACCCTTAAGATAAAGCCTTTCGTTGAGTTAAAGGAAACGACCTTCAACCATTACACAACAAGTCGAGATAATTACACATATTCAGCAAGGATGTTTACAAGCTGGAGATCGAAATCATCTTATTCCATTTCAGGCGCGGATCCAGGAATTATTTTTCCAGGGGTCCACCCAAGTCAAAAAAAAATCTAACCCTGAAATCTGTTGACAAGCAAAGAGAAAAAAAAAGCGTAAACTCGTCCAACCATGAAAAACCTAATTCGTGGAGGGGGGAGGGGGGGTATTCGTTGACCTCTAATGCTTCATACCTATGTCTTTTCATACCAACGTAACACAAATCCCCGTTTTCGAGGGGGGGGGGGGGGTCGGTCACTTTTTACTGTAATGTATAAATTAAACAACATTGCAAATTCCAAGAGGGGCCCGGACCCCCCCCCCCCCCCCGCCCACGACAGATCCGCGCAAGGGTTTCATACTCTTCTCTACTTTTCAAAGGACACAATTCTAAATCTAAAGGCTCGGCGCTAATACCGTCACCCAAAACTTTTCGTTTACGGTAAAATTCAGTGAAACCATTCCTCACTTGACGATAAGTACATAAACTGTTATTTCGAAGTTTGAATCCCATATTTACACCATGATGCGTTTTCTGAGTTTTTAATACATTTCGAAATGTAGTAAGAGGGGCTCTGAGTCTTCCCTTTGAGATACCTTTACAAGAAAATTTAAGTTGGGTCACCAAACAGGGTTTAATGTGGCGTGATTTTCTCAGTCTACATTTCTTTGCCCTTTTAACTAAGCGCTATGCCGCAATTATTGTGTTGGATTGCGTCTCACGCCTTCGAGGTGAGACGATGCAAGTCCGATTATTTGATCGCCTTGAAACTCAATTTTGAAGAGTTCAGGCGCCCTGCGATCGTTTCGCATGATCTTGCATATGCGGAACTATGACATCAAAAGGAATATCCGTGGTATAAAAGAGAGGACTCATCACCGAGAGTTTTAAACAAGAGGCCCATGGGCCACATCGCTCACCTGAGTAACTTTGGCATGCTGTTCTTAACCAGATTTCCCCTTTGTAATACCTATTGTGGCCCCGCCCTACCCCCGGGGGTCATGATTTGAACAATTTACAATCTACACTACATAAGGATACTTCCACATAAGTTTCAGCTTTTCTGGCATAGTGGTTCTTGAGAAGATTTTTAAAAGATTTTTCCTATATATTTCAATGTAAAACTTGGATTCCCTATTGTGGCCCCGCCCTACCCCCGGGGGTCATGATTTGAACAATTTACAATCTACACTAATTGAAGATGCTTCCACATAAGTTTCAGCTTTTCTGGCCCAGTGGTTCTTGAGAAGATTTTTAAAGATGTTTCCTATATATTTCAATGTAAAACATGGATTCCTATTGTGGCCCCGCCCTACCCCAGGGGGTCATGATTTGAATAATTTACAATCTACACTACCCGAGGATTTTTTAATTGTTTTTTTTTTTGGGGGGGGAGGGTATCATTCTTACTAATCATAATAAATTAGTCGGTGCTCACTGCATTTTTTTTTTCACTTCTCAACTAGTACATCTATCAAACCTATTTCGAGAAAATGGCCGGCAGAAGAGGCAGAAATGTAAGTATTATTTTGAAAATATTCTATTATTATATAGAAGAATGGTTGTATTGGGTCTTTTTCAAAAGATGAACATTTGTTGCAACTTGAACAAAAAAACAGTAGTAGAAGAATGGTACTATTGGGGTCTTATTTTCATAAGATAAACATTTGTAGTAATTTGAAAAAAAAATGTTGAGTTACCTCAATATTCAGTGCAACTGTTATGTTGAATGTGAAGCGAAAAAAAAGGGGGGGGGGGAATGCTATATCAACAAACGTTATAAAAGTAAATGCATTCTTTTATATATATATATATATATATATATATTATTTTCAGACCAACGACGTATGGTTGAACTCAAGTCATTTTAATCGATTCGACATCAAGGGGACCAAGGTTTAGGCGGGGATATTTTTTTTCTCTTGTAAATGAAATATAAATGCATGGTTTCTCAATTTTACGATCAATTAATAATTTATAATGTATCGATTAAACAACAAATGTTTATGACTGAGAAAATGTGACATATGTATGAAAATTAACAAACAAAATGTACATATACATTTTGTATAGGTGAGAAGGAGGATAACAGTTCTCTAAGGAGGAAGGCGGCGGTGTCCACACACCTGAAACACAACCAGCGTTGGAGATTGAGCCTGCAGACACGGTAAATATAGTTTCTATTCTCACTAACGAATATAAAAAATAGTACAATACCTTGCATGTCTGCTGGTGTTGTTGACATTTTCTCTCATCAATGTATTAAAAGTCGCAGGTTTTCACATTTTAATAATTTATCCTTATGCTCCTTGTAGACAAGCACTGGTAGTCTGCGATGAGATGAAAACTTAAAAGTGTAGTCACAGCAGAAACATTTAAATTCTGCTTTGCACAATCTAACATGTCCATCATAATTGTCTTTCCGATTCAGTACTGGTTCACAAATGTCACAGCGAAAGCTATTTGTTTTTTCATGTACAACTCTATAATGTCGATTGAAATTAGAAACTCTATTAAACGATTTGTTGCATATGGAACAAAATGGTTTCATTATTTATAACCACTCCAAAATGAGAGGGATGAACTGAACAAGCCTCCGTATACTTTTCTTATTAAAATGTATCATATCATTAGTCATAAGCATTTATTGCATCATTTTATACATGGATTCCTTTACGGGGTTAATTTTGTTAGATCTCAACCGATATTAAAATGTATCATATCATTAGTCATAAGCATTTATTGCATCATTTTATACATGGTTTCCTTTACGGGGTTAATTTTGTTAGATCTCAACCGATTCTGTCCGGAAATCAATCTTTCCTCAGTTTCATAATCACAACTTCTCAAAGCTTTTCGTCTTTATGACTACCGGAAAGAACCGCCCTTTACTTCCTGTGTTATTTTACCCCCCCCCCCCCTTTTCAAATTATGTAATCACAATCTTTTGGTTCTCTCCAATAAGTAAACAAAAAGAGAGAAAAAATGTTACATAGGCGTGAATGATTCCGCCTCCTCATAAACATTAAAATAAATGTAGGGAGACCTCTAGCTGTAGGGTATTGAGCCTAACATCAACTTCGAATGAACGTAAAGGTATTATGTAAATATATTACTGAAGCAACCGAGTTTTCTAATAGTTTAATAAAAAGGAAGCGACTTCCTATTGAATAAGATTTCAACATCCGGTGATGTAAATACATTCGAGGTGGGTTTTTTTTTCGAGCTTGTCGGAAAGGATTGCTGTAATCGTAATCTTAAGAATTTATTACAATTTATTTATGTTTTTTTTCTTTTTCGGGATAATTTCATTTCCCCTGGATATTAGATATTTTCCCCAACAGAACACTTAAATTATAACATGAACCGGAAAAAATCTATTAATATTATAATTATTAATATTTTATAATTTTTTTGGTTAACACTCAAATTTATCATTTCAGACCATTGAACAAGAAACAGAAGTGGAGCGTCGCTTGACGACCCTTGAAAAAAAAATGACGTTCTTGGAGAGGGAACGCCAAGGACGCAGGGTGCTTCGAAAGAAATGCACCACGTGTAAAAACTACTAGTATAGTGAATAACTGAAGACAGTGCCCTTTGAGATCTTCTTATTGTGCAAGGCACCGACGGGAACCTGGCTAGTGTAAATGAAAAGAAATATCAAGTATAAATAATGTTATTGTATTTTAATGGTTAAGAAATAAAGTGATGTATACTTGAATAAAATCTTCTTCGTTTGTTTCTTTCAGTTTGATTAAATGCATTGAAGAGAAATAGAAAAAAATGATAGTTTAGTCGGGTAATTAATGAATGAGATTGAAACCGAATAAGGCGAGATATGGGAAAGAAAATAAAATGAGTTTCATAAATATTTCACGGGAAAAAACTATGACAAATATCGTTTGTTAAGGTCATTCCAAAGTTTTTTTTTCTACATTTAGCGTCCACCTGCGACTTTGTTTTTGATGGTCACAGTGGCTACAATATGTTAATTTAGGTATATTTAGAGTATTATGTTAAAGAAGAATATTTTTTCTACAAGAAAAGTATAATGATGAAATCAAATCCTAGGAACACGGTTTCCTTTTTTTTTTTTTTTTTTTTTTAAAAAGTTGAGTGGACGCTAAACAAAAGGAAAAAAACTTGGAATCACCTTACTACTGAAACAAGAATTAATCACAAAAAAAAACCCCACTATGATGGAATGACAAATTTCGTTTCTTCATATCAGAACACTTTGAATTTTATGTTATAAATAAATAAATATTTTTTTTAATTTCGTACAACTCTCCACTTTCTGAAGATCTAAGGTCTTCAGTTAATTGCAGATTATGTAATTTGTTCTCTTGCTCGTCTGATGTCTTCAGCTGGCCACCTTCTATACACAAGTCTCTAGTACGACCAGTGTAGATTATGTGATCCCCTCGCCAGGTCTTTGATGTCCCCAGCTGCCCGCTTACGACTTCGTTTCTTGACTACTAAAAACAAGAGTTTATTTCATATCACAACACTTTGAATTCTATGTTATAAATAAATAATTTTTTTTTTAATTTCGAGCAACTGTCCACTTTCTGAAGATGTAAGGTCTTCAGTTGGATGCAGATTATGTAATTTGTTCTCTTTAGTCGTCTGATGTCTTCAGTTGGTCACCTGCTATACACAAGTCTCTAGTACGACTAGTGTATATTATGTAATCCCCTCGCCAGGTCTTTGATGTTCCCAGCTGCCTGCTTACGCTTGACAGATTGCAAGGTCAGTGTGTATACCCAGAATTCCGCGCACCCGACGAAGTAAGAGTCTCACTGTCTCAGAAACATTTGAAGAAGAAAGATGCACGGATGGATTTGCCTAACGTTTTGTACCGGGTTAGCGATAAGTTGCGTGAGAAAAGAACAACTATTGAGATGCGATGATCTGGAGGATGCTATGAAAGTTATGAAATCAGGAGATGTGGTCATCGTCCGTAGAATTTTGAAAAGAGACGGTTTGATTGACTTGAGTTCCAGTGAAATTGCCAAGATCCAGATTTCGTACTCGGAAGTCGACTGCCGTCAGTTCCGCACCAAATCCAAAACAACAATCATCCTAGCGGACAAAGTTTGCGAGGTAACTATAACAATAGTGCACAAATTAAACAATTATATTTATCTTGATTTTTCTTTTTTTCAAATGGAGCAAATTTAGATCTTTTAAGATTAATTTTTTTTTCTTTTGCCCTGCTTACAGAGGTCGGAATTGTCAGAGACGGTTACAGTTACTGTGGCATCAACAACCCTGGCCATGGAGACACTGGCTGTTAGTTTCAGTAAGTTAACCTATTTAAACCTATACAATTAAAAAAAATGACTACTTTATGTTTAGATATGTAAGAATGAAAATAAAGAAATAAAATTTTATAAACTATAGAATTAAATTTTAAGTATTGGCGTTACGTATTTCAGACGCTCCTTGGATGATTGCCGCTGGCATTTCGTCAGTGATTGTGATTTGTCTCGGCCTAAGTGTGTGCACTATTTACATTATCCGGAAATGTGTGAAAAGAAGAGTGATCACTAATCGCATGGACGATATTTCAAAGACTGAATTCTCTAGAGAATTTTCTAGCGAATTTCACCTAGTGAAATTAGAGTAACAGTTATCTTATTTTTTGTTATAGTGCTTTATGTGACATTGAAGTGTTCGGCGTTGACTGCAAATAGACATCAACCTCGGAACTACGCACCGCCCGCGCCGCCAGTACGCCACATTCAACCAGTAGCCGCACCAATTCGTCGTTCACAGCGAGTAAGGAGAGCCCCGACGAGATATGACTACTAACTATAGACAATGACTTTGTATATATTTTAAACGAGCAGGAGTGTACATATTTTCATGTGGATTGTTTTTCTTTTATTTTCTTGAAATATGAAAAGATAAAGTAATGTATATATAAGAAAAAAAAATCTTTGTCGTTTGTTTCTTTCAATTTGATTAAAACGCTTTAAGGAGAAATAGAAAAGTAACACTTTGGAGACCAAGAAGTGATGTAAATATGAAAAAAAATACTGAGTATTATCGTACACTTGAATACTCTTACGCAATGCACAGGAATAGAAGAACAAAAAAAAATACAGTTTGAGTAGGCCATCTTTAAAAAAAATCGTCTGATTACCCTCTCCCGACCAGCTGACTGAAAAGACCTGACTCAGAATTAAATATGCATTGAAATTTTCTTAGAAAAAAAATTTCTCAACTACCCATCGATCCATTTTCTTCATCCTTAGTCGGAAGAGGGCAATCAAACATTAT